CGTGTTTGCTTGGCGACCGAATCTCTTTTTGTCATCCTCGCTGTAACGTTGTGTTCACTCTGAACACCTCATCCCTCTTCTTTAATGCATCCCTTTTAGTGTTCATCCGTCTTCCAGTCCACCCGATCTTTTCGAGTGATGAACCTTCAGCGCATCCTGTGTCTCTACACAGGTGCTGGAAGCTGTTTCCACAGTGCAGAGGACTTCTACACTGTGATCTTGTGCAATCGTACTAACGACCGTACCACAAGTGAGGCCATCGAACTCACTCGAAGTACCTCCACACGCTTGTGGACGCTCCAAGACGTTCATCGGATGGCCATCTGATGAACAAATGGCAGGCATATTCTCGGATCGATGCTGATCCATTAATAGTATTTTCTGAGCCATGGCAGACTGAGGATGACGTCAAATTGTAATCCGAATCCATTACGATGAAGTCATCATCGCGCTGCTTTCCTTCTAGCGTGTAGTGGGAATCCACTACACGTTTATTCATCGTCACGAATGCGCCTGTTGCAAGGCACACCATCATCCTCGTTGGAGGGAACTCTCGCTCAACATAGTTGAGCCTACTATCTTTCAGAGACTGGCGTCTAATTAAGCTGTTTGACTCCTCACAGTCAACTAGGGCGCGAAGTGACATTTCACTTGTCACTTCGATCTTCAAAGTGATAAGAAACACCTCATCACTAGGGGCTTTAACGCACAGCGACTTTGTGAAGGGAGCAATCTTCGTCAAGAACCCTGCAATTCTCTTGACGTTGCTAGATCAGCAGGGTGCTCCTCCCCTACTGACCCTGACCGTTTTTTGGCGGTCCGACTTGCTGTCACGGTTTAAAGACACGGTCGGATCCGAGCCTTGGACCTTACCTCGGCCAACGGCGGTCATCACGTCCTGTCTTTGGACGTCATGCGGATCTTAAGACACCACACTCTTAAGTCTAGTGTCCGATCTTCTGACACCGATGGCATCTTGTCGTTCGCTTGTGGCTCAGAGAGCGAGAGTTCTCGATCTCAATGACAGAGGTCCGTTGGTTTGGGATCTCTGGGATCCTGTCTTCTCGTCGGAAAACAATTTAATGAGTTATCCTGAGACTGTCTCAAACTAAAGTCTTCTTTTTCCGCGTACGCCATCGTCTTTTCTAGCGTATGGAAGCTCTCTAGGAACATGTAGGTCTACACCGGCCCATCCACAAGGCCGTAGATGAACACGTTGATGACCGTGTGCTCAACAACAGGGTTTTCCGTTACACCATTTGCAAGGTAGCCGAGGTGTTTTGCGTAAGCATGCACATCACGCTTACATTGCTTGAGCCTCAGGAGTGCTGAGCAGGACCTGAGCTCGGCTTTCGTCGGCTCAAGCGTCTCTTAAAGCCGATACTTTACGGTATCTAAAGACTCAAACACGTTTGGGTCGTGAAGCTTGAGCCCTAAGGTCTAAGTCTTTGCTCGTCCTGTCAAATTTGACAGGGCGAATGTGACTTGCATCTCGTCACCCTCAATGTGACAGGCCCTGATGGCGTCTTTCGACTCGACGAACTATCTTAAAATGGAATCTTTATCGGTTTCCTTGTACCTTGAGATGTCCATCTTCATGGAATTGGGTCGATGCATGTGCGTTAGCCCATCCATCTTCGATGAGAGCCTTGCTGTTGTAGCAAGGCTATCTTCTGTCTCTTGACGGAAAGTTCCCCTTGTAGGAACTTGCTGATAGCAACATGTTGCTGGTATCTGCTTAGAGACTCCAACATGCCACTGATGGCGGGTTCGCCCATGAGCACACGCATGTGGCCGACTACCTCCCATTCTAAGTCGCTCAGATGGTAGTGCCTTCACGTGTGACGCGACAGCTGTCGTCTTCTACGTATAACATGTTCACGTTTAATGGACACTAAGTAGTCATTGGACGGACTACGAGGTGCTAACAGGTGTAACAATGCACCGTTTGTTCTAGATGGCGTGAAACTTCACGTACACTCGTACGTGCAGAGGAAGCTAATCCACTCAAACAACTAGGTTGAGTGAAAGGGTAAGAATTAAATGTATTCTATATAGTTAAGCTATCAATTTCACTTCAGTCTTCATCTAACTATATAATTTTCTACATAGTCCTATGACGACAACCTGCTCACCACTAATTACGCGCGTCCAGCAGCGATTGGTGGTAACCTTGGTTGATCTGTCTTTTATCAACCAATCTTTGAGCAGCACTCGATTACTGTCCTACAAGGGGGTGCTATTCTTTCAATAGTATCCATCTCGGATAACATTGGTGAGGAATTGCCACAGTACACAATCTCCCTATTTACAACGTCTGGTAAAAATATCATATAACGGGCTACCCCGTTACATAGCTAGTTAAGGTGTGCCCAGTTGCACATATATCATTTTCATAATTCTATATTTGTTTGGACGCGATCTGTGGCGGAGCTACTCAGCGCTCCTTTACCGAGGAGGTCTTAGACCCAAAGAGTCTTTTAGTTGTAACATATTAACAACGACGTACAGCCGTTCAAGCGCACAAGCTTAACAATCCCGGTTCCATAGGGATTACGATTCACAGAATCACACACTAACTAGTCACTACTAGTTGAAACAAGAGTAAGCGACTTCACAAGGCTATCACTCTTACAACACACTATGCCTTGACTAGGCACTAGCGCCCAACGATTCAAAAGGGGAACTGGGCTTTACTTATTCTTTAACTACGGTAATAAAGCCATAAAACCTTGTCTGACTTCTGCATTGCGATCCTATGACAGAAGTCATGTCCCTTATCCTCACCCGATAAGGTGCGAGATTACCGTAAGTACGTGGCACCAAGACTGTACCACTCATATCCGCTAATCTTCACTTGGTGTGGACACAGAACATAATCGGTTCAATAACCCGTGAAACCCCGTTACAAGCGTATGAGAGGTCGATGTGTGGTCGGTCACGCATGACGTGCTATACCTGAGTTCTATGTGTGGCAGCTTTGGCAACGTATGTGGCTTAGCTGATAGTGTTGGCAAGAAAAATAGAATTAATGCGAAAGACTAACGAGTCACCGAGACGATAAAAGTCAGGATCCGTTGTTTTGCTCACATGCAACTCAATGTATTCAGAGAGTAGCAAAGAGTAGCGGCGGGCGCCTTTGTTCAGGTGGCCGCGTTTAAAAAAGCAGCAAAGTCTACGTGATTCCAACGCGACCTCACGATTCGCAGCATTTAGTACGTAGCAAGCGGTCGATGCCCTCGAATGCATACATCATGTAGCCCTGTGCAATTTCACTGTCGGTATACCTACTTGTACTAGACGTCGTCAGATGGTAATGAGATGAGCTGGCAGAGGGACATGCACAGACGCTCTGCATCGTGTGGCCACGAGTGATATACCCGTATGGACCGCGACGAGAGGGCCTCGCAGCATGGAAAAGCATATGAGAAATAGCAGACGTAATACTGAATGTCGTCAATTTTGTGCCAGATACGTCGACATGGCGAACGCACACGTTTGTGCTGCGACGTTCAACTGGACGCTTGTGTGCCGCAGAGCATACATATGAGTTCATAGAAAGAATTGACAATAATAGAGCGTATCAGATGCTAGTTGGTCGTGCCTATTCTGATGGACGAAGAGAGCCTTTACGACCTCAGCACGTCTGGCCCAATAGAGAGGGCAGGTTGGTAAACAGGAATTATATCGTTGGCGCTTAGCCGCCGTCCGTCGCTACCGAGGGTACCGTTTAGTCACTATAATACAGTTATAAGGTCGATGAGCGACGATCTACAACCGCACGAGCTCGAAATAGTGAAGCAAGTAACCTGAAGTCGCGAGTCGGGCGTGTTGACTTCGCTATCAGGCGTGCCTTCCAGATCAATCGTGATGGTATGTGAGGTTTGCGAGACAAGAGGTTAAAAATAAACAGGTGCCTACACGTTTCACAGAAGGCCAAGTGGTGCATGTCGCCGGTGACGGACGGACTTACGATCAACGGTCAGTGGACAAAGCTGCGGTGCCTCCCAAGCCGAATGAGCCGGCGAAACATATTCCTTCGTCAATCCTGTAGAAAGTAGTCGGTGTCCCGCCAGCAACAGGCACGAACTTGGTTTTCACCCTGAGGACATCGTAACGAACGGTGGAAGTCAGCATACACGTCAACACATAGCGAGAAACAGCACTACTGATAGACGCATCCACTCGTCGTTTGATGATCAGGGGCGGAGCAGCGGTGAGTGACAAAAGACGCCGATCAGCGGCATAATGGCTGCCGGTGTCTTTGGCTACGACAACGCTGCTTCACCGTTGTCGTAACGTTTCTAGCATGGCCTTTTGTCAGAAAGAGACCGGGTTTTTACTACAAACACTAGCTACCAACGCGCGTGATGCAGCGGGCTAGGACGAACTAAGATGTTCATCTCCCACGACAAACACCAGTACAGTATTTGGCATGTCGAATGCTGCAGCATCCGTCCGAACAAGTCACGTGGATGCACCTAGCAGAATTACTGATGGTGCGAGTCATGGCTCGATCGTCGTGGCCTCGGTTGTCCATTGCAAGACTGTGAGAATCGCCTGCTGTCGTGCGCGCTAGCTGCGAGGGGTACCCGACATTGAGCTAAACTGCGATCGAGTGGTAACTCCCGGCCGGGCGCTCGCAGCAGGGTGGCTTCTCACAGTCTTGCAAAGTGTTAGGTAGTTAGGCAAATTCAAAAGGTACCGTGTACTGTTGCTGCTTTTCGTCCCCGTGCTCGCACACCTGCTACCAGTAAGTCAATGCAAGCGAACGCGACAACCATCCACAAGTCGTTTTTTTGACTCACCACAACAACAAACGTCATCAAAGGTCGATCCAAAGTCGTGTTTCGTTCACACATACAGTCAACTTGTCAATCAAAACCAGCGTGACACAGAAAAAAAAGGAGAAGCTATCAACGTAATAAGACACGGTCGGACCGGCGTCTCGCCAGATCCTCAAGTCGTCATTGTAATCCAGAAGAGTCTTGAGCACCCCTTCAAAGCACGGAGTTCTTGTCGTCGATCGTGAAAATCTCGCCCGCCAACTTGTCGTTGTCTTTCCGTCGCTTCATATAAACGGCTCCAAGCAAGCCAATGCAGGCGCAGGCACCGACTCCCGCGACAATCGGGATCGTACTGGACGAACTTTGCTTCTTCTCCTCGAACTCGCTCTGATCTTCGCTGGATGAATATTTGATATTGTGCACGTCAAAACCGTCGTTTCCCACTGCTTGGTTATCATTCCTGGCGTCTTCCACATCAGTGTTGCCACCCAAATGGCGCTTTGGGTATCGCTGTTGTTTTGGCGGATCCACCGCCTGCGTGTTGTCAGCAGATACCAGTGCAACGCCCAGCATAGCGACGATGAATAGTCCCCTGATGAGCCGCATGAGTTTTGTCGGTCCCCTTGTTTGACTGCGACTTCTCTCTATAAGTTTGGTGGATGGTGGCCCACCTATCACTTCTCTAATTAAGGAATGAACGACTTGTTAAAGACGGAAAAAGTGGGAATGCTCGACGCTCAGTGCGTCAAAGCCTGAAGATTCATCATGGGCTGGGATGAGAGAGAGCCCGGTCGGTCAAGGCGAGTATAAAAGGTGGTGGTGAGACCGCCCCATCGTCTCAGTTTCGTAGCAATTCGGTGACGTTTTACGAGCGCGCTGGCTGGATTTAGTAGAAACAAGGACTGTTAATGGCAGGGTTCACGTAAAACGGACTGGAATAAAACGTAGGGGAAAAGTTTCGGAACGGTCGTGGCGATCTCTTGCGTCCCACAAAATCTGGACGAGAGCATGATTTATCTGCACCACTGATACCAACCATAACGATTTTTGGGAGCAGCTGAGCTCTCGTTGCAAATCGTTTTCGTATGGAACGCCAAACGTGCGCATTACTGTGCCAGCTGCTGAAATTGCGACGTGTCACTATTCCGGCTCGTGTATCGTCCCGACGTCCCGAGCGATCGTCGCCACGAGCCATGCGCTGGTAACGTGTGTCGCGATAATGTGCGTGATTCATAATGATTGTCTTTGTCAAAGCTGTATCGGGAATACATCCTCGAAATCGTTCCTTGTACTACTTTCCACGATATCGAAAGTACCTCTGAGAGGCCTCATTGATGCATGTAGCCGCGACAACATTGACGCATGACTAGAGCATCCGGGCCATTCATTGAAGTTGGTAACGAAGCACCTGGAAAATGCATCTGATGTTCGATCGTATCGGCTGTGATGTGCGGCTGGCGTGCACACGCGCTCGCCGTCTGTGGTCGAGACTCGACTGTAAGTTCTTTTTCCTTCTTCGTCGTGACAAAACTCAGAAGAGGTGTGTGGTGTCCCTTTCTACCGCGTCGTGTCTGACAGCACGAGATCATTTAAGCCACAAAGTGTGCGACTGGAAGTCGTGTTACGGTCTGCTTACACACATGCCCATCTCTCTCTGTCAGCCCTACGAAGATGTTGTTGCAGGTATCGATTGTCGACACGATAGTTCGCCTCGGTTACAAGCAGACACACGCAGCATATTTGTGGTCCCTTCCTTCCGTAGGAGACAGGGCACAGAGGGCCACGCCGTTGTCTGTAGAGGCGTTGCCCACAACAACACCGACTATGAAGGTGCGGACCACACAAGCGGCGATAGCTGTGACATAATGGTCTTGCAAAATAGTACCTGCCTCATCTCCTCAAGACAATAACAGAGTTGGATCAACAGTAAGGGATCGATAGCATCAATTTCTCAGGCGTTTGGCATCGTGTATTACTAATCGACAGCGACGTGACGAGAGCATAAGCGCACTAGTGTGCTTCGATTGCAGACTTGGTCACAAGCTCGCGCTGCTGGTGTGGATGATTCGTGTGGCATCCAAGGGGCTCTGTAGTAAGTGCCATGGTGGTATCGTTGTAGCAGATCAAATGCGACACCAAGGAGGTTGTTGCTCGTAACATTAGGCAAATATGGAGGTGCTCGCCAACCTCGTACTACACCTGACTATTACATGCGATGTTCGACACCAGTCGTAACGCTCATTTTAATGGCTGAGAGACACTTCATGCGATGCCACGTAGAGTCCCTTCGAGCACGTGAGAAAGTGCAGGATGGGATATCGAAGGTTCAGTGAGCACCACAACGAGTCTCACAAATGCTTTTTTGCATGACTCGTTTTCTCACACTTTGTAGTATATGTGTCACTAATTATAGGTGCAGGTTATGTATGCTATGCGTGGTAGATTGATCTACGGTCACTAATTACCATTTTACTAAAAGTAATTACATAACGCCAGATTAATTTAAGGCGACTTCGCCTTCGCTAAAATATTTGTGATGGGATGTACATCTGTTGCTCTTAGGTCGACTCAGCGAACTTCTCATGATACGTCCGGGTTACGATTATTTCTCATTTATTGTGTGGTGATCAGGGTTACAAATCGGTGCTTACCGCACCCACGCTTTGGCTAAAACCTTGTGCGTGGGTGGGCTCTGGACACCCACACCCACCCAAATTCTTTTGCTGAGTTCTTCACCAAATTTCTATTGTACCAAAAGGCCTCGTTCACCGTGATGAATGAACTTCCAATAAATATTAGTACTAAATGAAATCCGCTTGCGACGTCACGTTCACCCACTCCCACCCACGAACTCTCCGTTTCACCCATGACCATAATAATCATGGGCGTGAATGTGGGCGCCCAATTTGAAACGCTGGTGGTGATCAGCATTTTAAAATGGTAGAATGTAGTAAGCTTTGAAATATCAAGTCAGTTCGAGCAATTTAGGAAATTACATGTTTGCTTTCGCAAAACAACAGCCGTACTTTTAGATCAAAAACCATGGCAAACTTGGCAAGTAAACCACACTGATTGATTGCGCAGAGGTGAGCTTGAACTTAGCCGAGCAGCGTAATCTAACACTCTAAACCAAATAGTCAAACTCCGACCCGCTGATCGATGTTGACATAGACTAATTGTGTGTTGCTCCAACCCACAGAATCTATACAAATTGCAGTAAATAAGATTGGGGAAAAAGTTTAAAGCTACCTGTTTGATATACGTAATTCAGCCAAAGAAGTAGATCAAGTTTTGTGCATACACGTAACCATGTGTCGGTGGGGGGACGGGTTGCGCTGTGTATTTGATAAAAGAAAGTGCTGATGAAATGATTGTGTTTCGAACTTACTCTTTGATGTTTCTTGATATTATAGCAAAACGAATGCGAGAAAAGCGATACCGAGGATGACCATGTTGTTAAAGTCGTCAGCCACAAAGTGCATCCGACGACGCATAATCAATTACTAAAACGAGAGACTAAATCAAAAACCTATCAGTTCCAACGATTAAGGAAACATATCACAACTTCATACTTATCTCATTCATCAGGTATTTCGGATGAAAACCACTTCACAGTTACGGTTTGCCAAAGATGCGGGACTTTCAATGCCCCAAGCGGAGCCAAGTGCTTATGTTCCCTTTGTTCGACCACAGTAAAACCTACAACTGGTCTCGTGCGGGCGTTGGTGTGGAAAGCTTACACAACAAGTGACTAGCGAGTGACAGCTCTATTGAATGCCTAGTATGAAGTGAGAACAGGCTTTTCGCACTCAGAACGACTCGTAAGGTGCATCAAGCATAATTTGGACACAGCTTTAGACAAAAGTGCTGTAAAATTCAGGCATGAATTTTGAACGTAATCACTAAATATAGACCGGTAAAATCTTGAGCTCGCGCATATCATATATTAATCCAGTTCTTCGAACTGGATTGATATCTAAGATTTTTAACAGTAGTAGACACTAAAGTAAAATTATGATTCTGTTGTGGCTTTAGTGTATCGCTGAAAGGCAACCAAATCCCTGATTGTGAGAGTATAAGAATGTTGTCTTTGAAATCTACACAAATACCATTAGAAAATGCATTTGTAATGTTTTGGCAACCGAAAACCTTAGCTAAGACTTATGTATGTCAGTACCACTGATAATCACATAATGGTCCAGATACTACTGCCACATAAATGTATCCTTGATATCAATCCTGTGTCCCTGCTCTACATACTGCAGAAGAGGAGGCAGCACAGCAAGCAGCAGCCGACCTCCGTCGAAAAATCATCCGTGTTCTTTATCTTCCCACTAAGGGTTATTTATCTTCCCACTAAAAGCACACTCAGCAAGCTTTTATACTCAACATCGTAGGCGCATATTAACCCCTCCGTTATTTCGTATAACACCATGTACTGGGAAGAAACAGACGCAAATTTTTGATAACGTCATCGGAATTCCTCATGCTGCTTTATATGATCTACTGATCCTCCTCTCACGCCACAATGTTGTCCACTTAGTCCAAGGATAGCCAGGGTGACCTGCATGCCTAATTTACAAGCACATTGTCCTCTCCCTTCTTCTTCACTACTATGCAAGTACGATGGAGACCGAGAATCTTTGTAAGCTTTTTTTATTCCACCGCCGACCACTGAACGCGTCGTTTGACACGCTAAGCTTGCGCTTAAGAAATTCCTGGTTAAAATATTAGATACGATATTATGCTGTCCACATTAATACTAGCAGTGAACGTGAGTTTGCCTTTGTCGAAGTACTAGAGCCGCCCGTAACATATACATCAGTTCATCGACAGAAAAAATTACGAAGTAGCTTTTACGAGAAACCGAATCAACAGTCTTCCGCCTTTATCCACTCAGCCGTTACTTTAAGGAGGAATGGCTTAATGGCTAAAGGCGGCAGATTGTAAATTTTAAAATAATTTCACGAGAACTTCAACAAGCTCCGTACAAATTTGTGGTTTTACTACAGATGTATAATGTGAATTTAGCACCATTACCCAGACTTGTAGAGCGATGGAGATACAAGCCGCCAATTTCGAGAGAAGATTCGCGATTACCACCTCAATCGCCATGATTGTGGAGTTATCGCAGACTCAGCTTTCTCCGTCTCAAGCGATATGAGCACATAATTGTCACGCTATAGTATGGGAGAATAAGAAAAGAGCTGTTGCACGAGGACAAGATGAACATAATTTTGACATTAAACAAGGCCGTCATTTACAAACGACAAGCAGATGAATGAGACACGGGAGCTGTGGTAAAGGTATTTGCCGATTGCTTCTTCGCCCGCCTTTCACCTTAACGTCCCCGGGAGTCGATAAAACATTTACCGACTGTATATGATCGAGTTCGCGGTACCAACTTTAATCAAATCCGCAATAGTTTGCATTTTTGGCGGATAAAACGCTTACAACATAACTGTATGATTAAGTTTCACGGTTTATTATTTAACACAGTTCGTCCAATACATGATTTCAATATAAATCAATAATTACGACTGTTCTCTGTTTAAAAAAACGAAAGAAAATTTGTACATTATAAGGAATTCGCGAGGATGATCCAAGTTTCCGGTTAAGTTGGCAACTGCGTTTCGCCTATCGAAAAGAGACAAAAGAGGATGCGGGTTCTGGCGATCACGATCGGGACGTTCAATATCTCTCTATTTTCACTACTCTTTACGCCGAGCAGCTTTATTCTTGCGTTCTTCATCACGTCGGTGTGGCAAAGTCACTACTCAAATTTTGTACGAGGATCGGTTTCCACCCAGTTAAGATGTCACCCACTGGCGGAAGAGGTACGCCTAGGACCAGGCGATGCAACGTGATTTGAGACGGGGCGTAGAAAGGGGTGATTCCAACGGTGCGATCTGGGACGAGGGACTGGATTGAACCGAACGACCACTCTAAAGGCTGATCAAAGGAAAGGATGTGGATGTTGAAGCAGAATCATTTGAGAAAAGTACGCCTGGGACCAGGCGATGCGACGTGGTTTGAGACGGGGCGTAGCAAGGGGTGATTTCCACGGTGCGATCTGGGATGAGGGACTGGATTGAACCGAACGACCACTCTAAAGGCTGATCAAAGGAAAGGATGTGGATGTTGAAGCAGAATTATTTGAGAAAAGTACGCCTGGGACCAGGCGATGCGACGTGGTTTGAGACGGGGCGTAGCAAGGGGTGATTTCCACGGTGCGATCTGGGATGAGGGACTGGATTGAACCGAACGACCACTCTGAAGGCTGATCAGAGGCAAGGATGTGGATGTTGAAGCAGAATCATTTTGAAAAAGCATCGGAGTGCACACAATGAACGGAAGAACATATATGGCCGGATTGTACTGTGTCGATCCTCAACAATCTCGAATTGGGCATCAGATCGGTCATGATCCCCACTGATTATGGATGTATCGTTGATGAGAATTTTGGATCATGACAAACATGCTTGTTGAAGGTCCATGAGTGATGTCTCAAAAGTTCAGATCAAAAGAGCCAGTGGAAGCCGGTTAAATTGACGTCGCAAAATGGATTTAGACGCCTTCGGCATTTGGGCACTATTTTGGGCTTTTGGGTACCAAAAATGGGTATTTGGTACCCCATTTGGGATTTGGTCCTCTTTTGGCGTTCAGGTACGGTATCGGGAATATTAGCGCTATCTTTGGAGTACAGGGCACGAAATTTCGACACGTGGCAAGGGGGCGATCCAGATTCAAGGCGATATCGGTTTGGAGAGTGACCTATAGTTAAGAATAGGCTTAAGGGTAGGTTGGATAGTAATTTGGTTGGTTAATAAACAGACTTGAACTCTACTTCTTCTGCTCACGACGCACGTAATCCTCCCCTCTTCTCCAGGCAAGATTGATTTGGCTTCCCCGGCGGGTTAAGGCACGCGTGTTACAGGGACACAGAAGACCGATCTTGGATTGTTGGCCAAGATCGAGAAGAGCGATCCCGGGATATCTGGCCCGGATCGATCAAGTACTCACACTCAACTCAACTGCTAGGGTAGCAGCACACAACGGAAAAGGAAAAGGATTTTGGACACAGGATCGCGAGACGGCTCAAGTGGTCAGAAGATCTGGACAAGGCGTTCAAGACAAGACCGAGCAGGATCGAAGCGATCCCCTGGACAGATCGGCACGTTTCATTTTGGCGAAACAAGACACCGATCTACCCAAATTGCGCACTTCCGGCAAGATCGGCCGATCCCAAGACCAGATCGGACCGATCCCAAGGTAAGATTGACGCAAGACTTTTATTTGCTGAGTGAAGATTTCCGCACAAGCAAAGACCCCGATCTCGAGGACAAATCAAGATCGGTGCGATCCAAGATCGGGATCGCAGAACCCCGTTCGTGGTGTGAAGATTTCCGCACCGGAAGCGAACCCTCAACCCAACCTCTCAGCGAGATCGACATCTCCCAAGGCCGTTACGAAGAGCTCAAGCCAGCCCAACCGACGGGTACACAAGGTGAGCACAAGGTCATACAACAAGGCACGGATCGGAGTACCCCCTCCGTGAGTCGGCAAGTCTGGGCAAGTGGAAGATCGACACTCATACAAGCAATTTTGTGAGATCGACTTCACCACAATGGTGCGCGTGCCCGGATCTTCTGAGGCCTCTGGATTTCACCGTGAGTCCACTGGCGAAGATGTCAAGATTAAGCAAGAACCTGGGATTGAAGTGTCAGCGACAAAGGGATCGACGCAGACACGCAGAAGCACAAGATCCTCAGATCATCAGAGTTTTGGGAGGGGCTCTGATGAAATGAAAATGAAAGAGGAAGATCGAGAGATCGATCTGGAAGATAAACCTCAATTCCCTCCTAGGGTCCCTTCGGGGGCCACCGCAGATCGCTCTGCAAAGAGCGATCTGCTGGATGAAAATCCAACGGTGAAAACCAAATCGGCGAAAGCCAAACCCTATATCTTAGTCGATAGATCGCCCGACCTCAAGCCGAAGAGCACAATCGCGAGATCGACCACATCAGAACGATCCGCGACGAGATCGATGGGATCAGATGTCAAAGATCGCCAGATCGGCCGAACCGTGCAATCGAAGATCGGAGCCAAAGAGGAATACGATGAAACACCAGATAAGATCGCGATGCCAAAGACGGAATATAACCCAATAAAGATCGCGTCCATGGAGAAGGAGACGACGGGTGAAGCGCGGGAGCGTGCAAAATGGCAGTACTATTATGGCCAGTTGAAGACGCTGCTCAAGACGGACCCAGTGTTCAAGATGTTAAGGCCCAAGGTGATTGGTCCTCTGGATAAGCCGATCTCGGTCCCACTTCACGGGACCAACAAAGTCGACGAGATCAATGTGATTTTGCAGATGTTGGACGACATGGGTATCTGCCCTGACGCTTTTGATGGAGATGAACTGCTGAGTTGCAGCTTGGAACAGTTGAAGGACGCGGCGAATGAGTTTGTAGAGATCATGATAATGCTGGTGGGCAAAGCGAATACTCCTGAAGACAAGATCGGGACGCCCTCGGGCTCGCTCTGTAAACACCCCGCGGGATCGCCCCGCTACGCCTCGGATGACTCCGAGAGCGAGTCAGATGGATCCATCAGCATTCGTCAGATGTCTCTAGGACCATCGGGTGGAAGGTTCTTAAAGGACAAGATCGGACAAGCCAAGATCGACGCCTATAAGGGACAAGCCAAGAGCAACATGCCGCAGAGATCGGCCAGTACCCGCACTGGGCTGGAGGATCAAGAAGAGGGCGATCTAAGTCGGTACTTCAATTCAGCCATGAAGAAGTACGAGGCGGAGCAACGTACAGCTCAGCGAATGAATCGACAGCCAAACCGCTACCCAGATCGACGTACTTTGCTCCAACCTTCACACGAAAGCCTTGACATGCCGGATGTGGAGATGGAGTCGGTGGGGTCGGACATTTACCAACATATCCATGAGGCGGCGGAATACGACCCGGATGATCTATGGATGCCCGAACCACGGCGCCCTCAAGTAGCCGCGACCGGTGCGACTACCGGAGGGGGAAACATCACGCAGAGGATCAGAATCTCAGCGATTTCTGAGCTGAAAGAATTCTCAGGGAAGGATCGGGAAGAAGACAAAGCACGGACCTGGATCGGCAAAGTGAAATCAGCGTTTATCCGGGACCAAGCACCGGACGAGGAGAGATGTCTGGTCTTCGGTGATCTCATGGTGGGCCCAGCCCGCTACTGGTACCGACAGCTGAGTAGATCGACGAGATTCAATTGGAAAGAATTGATGAACAGTTTTCTTGTGGAGTATGCGGGACACGGGATGTCCGCGAGCAGGCAATACTACCATGCAAAGAAACGATCGGAGGAAGATCCTTTGCAGTACCTGTATCGGCTTAATGTGATGGGAATGCAGGCGAAGATACCGGTGATGACTGGATTGCCAGCTGCGCGCAAGGAACATGTCAATCATTTCATTGACACCTTGGACGACCCCGATCTGTCCAATCAATTGCTACTGCTGAATGTAGAAGACGCGGAGGCCATGCAAAAGACACTGCACGGATATCAACAAGGGAGATCGCGTCAAGGGAAAGTGATGATGGGATCGTCCAAATTCAGGCAGAAGGGAACTCAGGGTCCAGCGCTGTCTAAGCCTGCACGAGCGGTAAGGATGGTCCGTACCGAGGACGTCTGCAGCGAGTCAGGATCAGACACCTGCGGATCGGATTTGGAAGATCGATTGAGATCGATCCATGTGGCTGCTACTGCGGATCGCCGTTCATCCCCCAATGACGTTGCAGCAAACGCGAGATCGGTCGACCCGAACACTCGTCAAGACTATCAAGACCGCAATATGCCATTGAAGCCGTGTACTCATTGCGGATCGACCAAGCATGGAGATCTCGGTTGCTGGAAGCGGCTCACTTGCCAGAAGTGTGGGCGTAAAGGACACCCCTCTGACAATTGTTTTTTCGTGTGTCGTGCTTGCGGTGAGATGCACGACCCGGGGAAGTGTCCCACGGGGGAGTTCTACAACATGATCCGTCAGTGGTACGTCCCGAATAAGCATGCGGGGATGCTACCAGAGAAGGTCGAGAAGATGATAAAGTAGGACGCTCGCCAGGTTGGAATCTGGTACGAGCCGAGCGTTCTGGGCTCTGCATTATTGCATACGTGGAAAAAAAAGAAGACAGATCGCGAGAGTAAGCAGGATATTGACGTGGAAACAAATATATCTCGTTCGAAGTTAAAACGTGTCGCTTCCGTGTCCCATCTGAAGCGGATCGATGAGTACTCACGATCTGAACCAGCTATGGAGATCGAGCTCGCTTATGGTGAATCTCGCGGATACTGGAAACATTATTCACCCGGGAAGTGGTTCAAACAAGCGAAAGCCGTTGGCAAGATCAACAACGTAAAAGCTACTCTGTTATTTGATTCTGGTGCTGAAGTGTCGATCATTGACACCACCTTTGCTCGTGAGGTCGGTTGCAATATTGACGAAAGTCAACGACAAGAATGTATCGGGATTGGAGAAACTCCGTACATGACGGTAGGACGTACCAAGATCAAGGTGACCCTCGCGGGATCGCTGGTATACTATTTCAATGTATGGGTAGGCGATCTGGCAGGGCAAGAAGCGATTCTGGGTATGGATTTTATGGTGCCTGCTGGAGTGCGGCTCGATCTAGCGGATGGCGCGCTATGTCTACCAGAAGAAATCCGCATTCATCTCGCAGGACGTCGCCCCGCGTACGGATCGAAGATACAACATATAACGGCGAAGGACCAACACGTGGTGATCCCGGTCGGAGAGTCAAGGGAAGTGAAGATCGGGATCGGAGGGGCTAAGATGAAGTTGTGGGTCGCTAGAGGACTAGATTGGGTCCCCACTGTGATCTCGGGGTGGGGTAAGACGAAATACCTGCAGATGACCAACATTGGCGACCGTGAGATCATACTGCCCACCCACACTATATTAGGCATGTGGGTCGAAGGCGATATGGTACCGCGAACTCAAGGTTTGGTGACAGTCGGGTCGGGGAAGTACAAGGAATGGCAAACTCTGGCATATGAGGCTACGACGGATCGAGTGAACGAACTCCCGAAAGAACCGATCGGACCATTGGTAGATCGTCCTACGTATGCCGCTCCCAAACGCATCTTGAAACGTCCGTCTGATGCGTTACAGAACCTGTCTCCGGCGATCTCCACGGTAACGCCGCAAGCTAACGATGACGATTCGCAAAAGGCAGATGCTGTAGTTGCGAGGGAAGTAACGGTCAGGGGAGCCGAACTATCGCGGATGGAGAACGGTCATGAGATCGGTACCCAACATGCAACGAAGGGAGACCGCGACACCGGTCAAGAAGGGCTACGTGACAGATCGTCTCTACCGAAGGCTGAGCCGACTGACCGACTGTTGAAATTGGGCCAGCCGGAAGAGACGAAGGAGCCTAAAGAAGAAATAATGCTAAATACTGAAGACGTCGAGATTGCAGAAATACCAGTTTATCACCACGAGAGCGGAGATTTGTTTGCGGAAGATATCGAGCAGCATATGGCCGTGCTACCAGAGATGTCGGCGACTACGGAAGAAGTTACGATTGAGGACATTCAGATCGGTGATCCCGATGTGCCTCTCACCACAGATCAACAACGGCTCAGATCGCTGATCTGGAAGAGCCGTCACCTCCTCATGGGTAAAGGTAATGCTCTACCACCCGCAGCACGAGGCGCGATCTGTGATATTGATGTCGGTGGGGCAGCACCGATAGCGCAAAGAGTGCGTCCGGTCGCACCCAAATATCGGGAGAAGCTGTCAGATCTCATCAAAGGACTATTAGCAGCCAAAATCGTTCAGCCATCCACGTCACCTTGGGCGTCTCCGATAGTGGTGATCATCAAGAAGAACGGAGTGGATATTCGCCTTTGCATTGATTATCGAAGAGTTAACCAGCTGACGCGTCTGATGGTTTATCCCATGCCGTTGATCAGCGATCTGTTGGAAGATCTGGATAAAGCTCTATGGTACTGTTCGCTAGACATGGCTAGTGGATTTTGGGTCGTCGAAATGACTGAACGAGCAAAACTGATCTCAGCGTTTGTCACACCGTTTGGCTTGTTCGAGTGGCTGCGAATGCCTTTTGGGCTTAAGAACGCGCCCCAGATCTACCAACGTCTGGTGGACAATGCGTTGTATGGATATCTCAAGATCGGCCAGAGATCAGCTTCTGATGGCCCGATCGACGTGTTCAAAGATGGAGAACCTGAGACAGATCGACGACCGTCTATACTGGGACGCCGATCTTACATTGACGATATTCTCATACCAGCCACGTCATGGGGATCTTTGTACACAAAAGTAGAACGGTTGCTGGAGGCATGTGATAAGTGGAATCTGTCTATCAGCCTCACGAAGAGTTTTTGGGGGTGCCGTAAGGTCGATTATTTGGGACATCGAGTGTCGATGGATGGTCTGGAGGCTCAGCCCAAGAACCTAGAGTCGTTGGTTAACATCCCGTTTCCTAGCACGCTACGAGCTATGCAATCCTTTCTCGGGAGCTTGAACTACTACCGTCGCTTCATTGAGGATTTCGCGGTGTATGCCGCGGTGTTGTATGAGTTAAGAGAATCGGATTTCTTCGAGATCGGCCGATCTCAGCTTGCAGCAGGAGACGAATGCTCCAACGAGGGTCGATGGACGGAAGCCAAGGTTGCTTTCACTATGCTAAAAGCTAAGATAGCTACAGCTCCCATGCTCAAGCATTTCGACCCAGATCGGTCCCCCCGTAATCGTGGTCTACGCTAGCAAGTGGGCTGTCTCAGCGGCCCTGATACAGGAGTACGATGGCGTGTACCATCCGGTGACGTTTACTAGCCGCACTTTAAAGCCTAATGAGCTTAACTACGGAATGGTAGAAAAAGAAGTGCTGGCGCTACTTCGTGTGTTGGATGTATGCTATACTACGCTTGCCTCGCGGGAGATCACTGTACTGACCCGACATTCTACGTTAGCCTGGTTGATGCAGTCTCGAGGGCTCAACGGGAGATTAGGACGGTGGGCTGCTTTGTTGTCAAATTGGACTATGGAGGTGAAGAAATGTGAAAGAGGAGAGGAAGAGATCCTGGGCATGTTAGCAGCGAGTATCACTCCGAGAGGAGAGGTGGAAGAGATGCTGATTGCGATCTCCCCACGAAAAGACTGTCGACTCAAAATATCGATGCCTCCTCCAACGGTGGAAACAGATGAGGAGTTGCTGGTGGCCAGTTTCGATGGATCGGCTAGGATAAAAAAGAAAGGAGGGTCGTTCAGTGCCGTGATATGGAAGTTACCCGAATGGACGATCGTGGCGGCCGAATCGAGATATGTTCACGATCTGACTGTGAATGAAGCTGAGTATAATGGCTTGCTACTGTGCTTTGAGTTACTCGCCGGTCTGGATAGGGGGCGAGTAATACTGTGTGGAGATTCCAGTCTGGTGATTCGACAGATGCGCGGTGAGATCGACTGCAAGGCACCGGGCCTTCAGCTTCTGAGACACAAAGCGTTGGAGAAGCTGCAGTCATGGCCTAGTCACGAGTTTCTGCATATGAAGCGAGAGTGGAATCAGAGCGCAGATCGACTAGCCAGCACAGCATTGCAGAGCGAAAAGGGAAGAACGGTTGTAGCTGAAGAGGATCGGCAAGATCTGATGACTCTGAACCGTCTCGATGAATTGTTGAAGCCCAAGCAAGATGGTCAGCTAGCTCGGGTAACTGCGATCGCGAGATCAGCCAGGAGGATACGTCATGAACCTGAAGTGATACAGGAGGAGATAGTACAGAGGATCAGGATTCAACGAATTGTCCAAGCTCAAGATGAAGAGCGTTGGATTGTCAATCTCAAGACATATCTAAGTGGCGATGTATTAAACTTGGATGCAGTAGAAGTGAAGATGTGCGCCAAACTGGCGCCGGAATACGAGATCGATGAGAACAATCTGCTATTTTTTTGCCCCATGGCGAAAAGAGAGTCGGAAGATCGCGATGGTTTGATGCGGTTGGTGATCCCGGAGACGTTGCAGCAGGATTTTTTGCATCACTATCACACGAGTCTGGAAGGAGGCCATCAGGGTATTGGCCGAACCTATCAGAGGATCAGATCGCGATTTCATTGGAGAGGACTGTATCGGAGCGTTCAACGATATGTGGGCGAATGTACCGACTGTGAGACCGGGAAAGGAAACCCGATGATTCATGGGAAATCCCCGGGCAATCTACACGCAACCTATCCATTCCAGATCATCGCCATGGATCATATACCGTCGTTGCCCAAGTCCATCAAGGGGAACACCGAACTGCTCATTTGGGTCGACCTTTTCTCGGGATATGTGATTGCAAAGGCTAGCTCCTCTCGGACGGCACAAACAATAGCGGAGAATTACGAAGAATGTGTGTTTCGACGCTTCGGAGCTAGCGAGGCTATCAGGCACGATCGAGAACCGGGATTTATGTCCGACTTCTTTCGAGCCTTCAGTCGGATCGTAGGACAAAAACAGCGTGCTACTATGGCTTACAGGCCACAAGCAAATGGAACAGCCGAACGAATGGTGCAAACCCTGACACATTCGCTCAAGATGTACGTGGCTGAAGTTGACCAGCGAGACTGGGATGAGTATGCTGAGCGGCTCACATTTGCCATTAACACTGCACAAGATCGGATCCGGGGGGATACCCCGTTTTATCTGATTCATGGGTGGGACCCGCGATCGACTTTGGAGGCTACGCTACCAGTGGGGAATACGGGGACACGAGATCGCGATCCAAAGAGGTGGAGATACAAAATCCAAAGACAATACCAGCGAGCCCGATCTGCAGTGAACGATCGTTTACAAGCCGCGATCCAGGAGCGAGCGGATCGACACAACGAAGATCTGGAACCACACGAGATCGAAGTAGGAGCGCAAGTTTGGCTATACCTGGACCGAGTTAAAGAGGGATATGCGAAGAAGCTAGCGCACATGTGGCATGGGCCATTCCGAGTTGCGGACGTATGTGGAGATCATGCTGTAAAATTGGAGATCGCTGGAACCCCATATCGGTTATTTCCGATTGTACATATATCGAAGCTAAAAAAGGTAAAGACGTTCCCTGAACGCCCGAAGGATCAGCTTACGATAGAGGAATCAGATCGCTTGGATTTCGATGAAGCTCTGCTGCCAGAAGACAGTTGGGATGGCGATCTTGAAGAAGGGGAATACGAAGTAGAGGCAATATTGGACGTGCGATCTGGTAGAAAAACCCGTTATGGGCGAGTACACCGGCAGTTTCTGGTGAAGTGGAAGGGATATCCCGATCTAAGTTGGGTGGACGAGGCCGATCTAAGTTGTGGGGCGATCTTGCAAGAGTTTGAGCGGAACCGAGTGAGTCGAAACCGTTTCGACGTAATGCAGTCTCATGAAGGCAAGTCGGACGAACCTTAACAGTTCGAACAAGTATGCGGGAGGTAGCATATGCGGATGTAGGGGTTGAAAGATGTGCTAGACGGTAGCACATGCTGGTGGATGAGGTTTTTGTATGTGAGTATGGAGATAGTCAAGTGAATTACCTTCCTGAATGATGTGGAGCGATGAGGATCGAGATCGTGGAAGCTGCAAAGAATTGAAGTACCAAAAAGAAGACGATTGAATGACTTACACGATCATGAAAGACGATCGGGCTTGGATATCGACCTTGGACTAAGACGATGGAGCAGGTTTGAACTTGTCCTGCAGACGAGGGATCTGCGATCCGGGATGATCTAGATGGCGCGGAGACCCAGGCCGATCGGGGACCGCTGGGGTGTGTCCTCCGAGATCGGGCGATCCGGGCGACAGGTCGCGATCCGGAGACAGAAACATGGTGGATCCTTCTGAAGAGATCGGCGAGGTGGGTGGATGCGTCGGAGAGACCATGAGACGGACTTGAGTGCTTGGAACGAAGTTGATGAGTGACTGTACTGAGGTCGATTGCTGTACAAAAGACTTCAGTACAGGGGGCGGTTGTGGCAAAGTCACTACTCAAATTTTGTACGAGGATCGGTTTCCACCCAGTTAAGATGTCACCCACTGGCGGAAGAGGTACGCCTAGGACCAGGCGATGCAACGTGATTTGAGACGGGGCGTAGAAAGGGGTGATTCCAACGGTGCGATCTGGGACGAGGGACTGGATTGAACCGAACGACCACTCTAAAGGCTGATCAAAGGAAAGGATGTGGATGTTGAAGCAGAATCATTTGAGAAAAGTACGCCTGGGACCAGGCGATGCGACGTGGTTTGAGACGGGGCGTAGCAAGGGGTGATTTCCACGGTGCGATCTGGGATGAGGGACTGGATTGAACCGAACGACCACTCTGAAGGCTGATCAGAGGCAAGGATGTGGATGTTGAAGCAGAATCATTTTGAAAAAGCATCGGAGTGCACACAATGAACGGAAGAACATATATGGCCGGATTGTACTGTGTCGATCCTCAACAATCTCGAATTGGGCATCAGATCGGTCATGATCCCCACTGATTATGGATGTATCGTTGATGAGAATTTTGGATCATGACAAACATGCTTGTTGAAGGTCCATGAGTGATGTCTCAAAAGTTCAGATCAAAAGAGCCAGTGGAAGCCGGTTAAATTGACGTCGCAAAATGGATTTAGACGCCTTCGGCATTTGGGCACTATTTTGGGCTTTTGGGTACCAAAAATGGGTATTTGGTACCCCATTTGGGATTTGGTCCTCTTTTGGCGTTCAGGTACGGTATCGGGAATATTGGCGCTATCATTGGAGTACAGGGCACGAAATTTCGACACGTGGCAAGGGGGCGATCCAGATTCAAGGCGATATCGGTTTGGAGAGTGACCTATAGTTAAGAATAGGCTTAAGGGTAGGTTGGATAGTAATTTGGTTGGTTAATAAACAGACTTGAACTCTACTTCTTCTGCTCACGACGCACGTTATCCTCCCCTCTTCTCCAGGCAAGATTGATTTGGCTTCCCCGGCGGGTTAAGGCACGCGTGTTACAGGGACACAGAAGACCGATCTTGGATTGTTGGCCAAGATCGAGAAGAGCGATCCCGGGATATCTGGCCCGGATCGATCAAGTACTCACACTCAACTCAACTGCTAGGGTAGCAGCACACAACGGAAAAGGAAAAGGATTTTGGACACAGGATCGCGAGACGGCTCAAGTGGTCAGAAGATCTGGACAAGGCGTTCAAGACAAGACCGAGCAGGATCGAAGCGATCCCCTGGACAGATCGGCACGTTTCATTTTGGCGAAACAAGACACCGATCTACCCAAATTGCGCACTTCCGGCAAGATCGGCCGATCCCAAGACCAGATCGGACCGATCCCAAGGCAAGATTGACGCAAGACTTTTATTTGCTGAGTGAAGATTTCCGCACAAGCAAAGGCCCCGATCTCGAGGACAAATCAAGATCGGTGCGATCCAAGATCGGGATCGCAGAACCCCGTTCGTGGTGTGAAGATTTCCGCACCGGAAGCGAACCCTCAACCCAACCTCTAAGCGAGATCGACATCTCCCAAGGCCGTTACGAAGAGCTCAAGCCAGCCCAACCGACGGGTACACAAGGTGAGCACAAGGTCATACAACAAGGCACGGATCGGAGTACCCCCTCCGTGAGTCGGCAAGTCTGGGCAAGTGGAAGATCGACACTCATACAAGCAATTTTGTGAGATCGACTTCACCACATCGGAGTGACTCCTCCTTTCTGTCTTCGTAGCGCAAGCAGCAATGGACCTCATGTCATAGATTATTCGAATTTTGAGTTTCTTGA